TAGCTCAAGTCATCCTATTGGCGACCTGAACTAATGGTTCTTTGATAGGTAGCCAATGTCATCTCACTCGATTCCCTGTCCATTTACACCATACTCTCTTAACCTTTGCAATTGTATGACTTGAAAAGGCCTTGCCGAAAGCATGTTCGTCAACCCATCTGTGTTCTTATTATGGGTGGGAATTTTCGGAATAAGACGTTGAACACTTCAACAGGGCTAAAAGACCACACTGAGTCGAGCACTTAGTTTTGTGACCAACTCACGTGCTTATTATAAATGGGAATTTTCGGAATAAGACGTTGAACACTTCAACAGGGCTAAAAGACCACACTGAGTCGAGCACTTAGTTTTGTGACCTTACAACTCACGTTATGACCTCGTGGGCGAATTCCCAGTAAGGTTGTGTACTTCGGCAACGGATCGTGGAAACAGACTAATGGGTGGACACTGGTCACTTTCTAAACTGGCCCATTTCGTCCTAAACTAGTGTTATCTGGTAGTCGCCACAGAATTTGCTTCCGTTACTGATCCTTAGCTGGACCGAAGTAGAACTTTGGCGCTTGTGTGTGTGTTTGAGCATTTATTTATTGACACCATCCTGAACTGGTGTGGTGCTTTGTTTCCGCGGTCTGTCTGATGGTGACCACCGTAAGCGGGATTACCTAAACACCCACTTGCTATTGGACACGTCACTAACGCACTGTGCTTCTTAGTTTTGCAAGCTTTTTAGGAGGGTATCCGTGAGTCGATAAAACCAGCTGCATCACAAACATTTTTTGTATGTTGAAGGACCGTCGTTTTGACAGGGAGAAATACGACCGTCTCCCTCCCAGGTAGTCCTATGGGGGATCGTAAGAAAACGAACTCAGGGAGAAGTTATTAGACCTTTCTTATTAGGAGAATTCGCGGTAAAAAGAAGTAATTCGCTCAAGTGGGACACAGATAAGCAACTGTGGTTTATAAACTAGGGAAAGTGACTTCATGATGCTCTAGGAAAATGGAGCTCGGTGCGATAGACAGACGGTCGGAAAACGTGGGACTAAACAAGGCATACCAAAATAGGAGACTTGAGGACGCTTTCTGCCTAGTATGTCCAGGACTACTGCATACTTTGCGCACGTATAAAGGAGAACACAATGGAATTTGAAAGTTAATTAGAGAACGTCATTGGTACAGTCACTGATGAATAACAGGTCGCATCAAAATGCTGTTCAGAAATACATGGCTAACTGTCACGTGTTGAAATCAGTGAAATATCTATGGACTCGGTAGACGATTAGAAAGAAACACTAATTTTAATAGTCTATTAACCTGATGTGTGCCATAAGGATATGGTCAGTGAGATTTCCAAGATAATGTGGACAGTCCGAATTGCACGGGCAGATCACTCAAGCTGGTCTCGGACGTTTAATCAGGATAACGGATTTTTGAAGGGAATATGGCTGATCGACATCGAGTTATCAATAGTGAACTAAAACCTACCTTCAAGTGATCGCGCAAAAAACTCAAAAATTTCATTCTTCACAATCATCCTTGGCCCAAGATAAATGGAATTAATGTTGTCGGATTATTGTAATGAATGTCCACATAACCTCTAAAGAATGAACAACCGTGCATCTTGGTCCTCCCAACTGTTATCCCTCACCTAAGCATTCTGCTGCAAAAGATGCTGTCTTTGGGCCGTCTAGCTTTGGAACTATAGCACACACTTTCTGAAATCAGAAAATCAGCTAAAAAGACTACGGTACTGTATGTACAATTCTAATCAGTATGATGAACTTACGCGGGTAGCATTCGCGCAATAAGCAGTTCAGTTTTCTTTTTTTCTGTTTCCAACTCTTCTGTCCGTTCTCGAACCTGATCCTCCAGGTCAGCAGAATACTTTTCCATGATTTTGAACATATGGTCCACGATATTGATTTTCCTAAAGTGCACAGTGAAATGGCAAATCAGAGAACATTGCTATGTTTGACTTAGTTGGTTGATCATTTGGTAGAGCTTAGAACATATGGTACTTGAAATTTGATGCAGGAAATATAAGGTTAGATTCCAAGACGTGGCACGTGGCGCGGCAAACAAAATAGCATCCAAATTATATGATAATCAACAGAAAATACCAGAACTGGTAGTAGCTAAAGACCATGTTTAGTGGGCAAAACTTTAGTAGTTTCTTTTTCATTAACTAACTGTATTTTTTATTTGGAATCTTTCGTTAACTCTTTACTCCCCCGTTCCTTTTCGTTTGATTCCCAATGCTTTCTTTCGTTTTTAATCTCATGAACTCAGACTATGACCGGCACCAACGGAAAGCAAATCAGGTGAAAAATAAATAACCGTATAATCCAAGAGAATCTAAAGAGATTCGATACGATATAATCCGTAGCAAGGGCCTGATCTAACTTCTAATTCTCCAGCGACCGAAACAGCTGAGTGCCATGGAGGCGTTACCTCTTTGTTTCACGACTATTCGTGTCAGCCAGATGGCTTAATGACCAGGGACCCAGGGGAAGTCTTTACTCTCCAATAATTCGCCTTCCTTCAATGGACACAAAATATCGGTCTTCTTTAAGGGGTGTGGTCCATTCATCATCATTTTTTTCAGGTCTTAGCCATTTGTATTATTTTCAGTAAAACGTGTCCTCTGGGCAAAACGATTAGCTTGCCCTAAACGCCACAGAAGCGCATTTGGCTCCTCTATCCATTAATCACACAATCAGTCACATTTTTCTTTCGATTTTCTCTTGCCGACTTTCTTTGTTTGACTTTCCAACAATAAGTGAAGAGGAGTTTGATTTAGGATAAATACATACCCCTAATGATCTGGGGAAAAAACGTTCCACAGTGAAACTCACTTTCCTTTGTTCAGCTCTCGGAGTTGTTGGTGTATTTCTTCGAAGGATGGTCTCATGAGTGGAGTCTCAGCCCAAGCACGCTTCATAAACTCAATGTATGCAGGTGGCGCTTCGGATTGCGTAACCTATTGCGAAGGAGGGGCCCAAGAAGCAGGGGAAGCATTGGTTAAGAGCAGAGTTTTGCCATACAGTCGATAATAATCACTGGGAAATTCTATCTGCGCACGGTATCCTGCTCTATTAGCAGCAAGATAAGATGGATAAAAAAGGAAGGGAGAATCGGGGACACCGGCGACGGAATTTCTGTGAAAAAATGCATCAGTTTGCGACTACTCATGAGTAGTTGCAAACACGTTGCACTTCGGATGCGGACTAAACAAAAAAGTGCTGGGCTTTTTTATGGCTTTCCACATCGCAACATCAAGAATTCACCCAATGTCAGGCTCCAACTTGGGTCAACTTAGGTCAGGTTAATCACTTTAATCATCTCCCAAGTCTCTGTTTTCATCGACTTTCAGCACTCATTCACTGTCAGTCATTTGCACGCTTAGAACGATCCTCGGAATCTCGGGCTTCAACCTACACAAGTGAGCTTATTTTGATATCATTCAGCACGATTATAGAACTGATTCATGTGTACTGCTGGAGCAGAGAAAAATAATGCGTGCGTGAACCTGAGCAATTCTGTATGATCTGTGGCCCAATAAATGACCTTCTGAAGCTGACGTCAAACAAAAGGCTGAAACTCTTAGCAGAGAGTGGAAACAATGGTACAAACAGGTCATAGAACTAACAAACAAGTTTAGACGTAATACACTACTCATAATGTTGCTGAAAGCTCTCCGACAGCCCACGACCGGTTTTGCTCTTCATGGAGCTCATCAGGTAGGCGCAGTCTCCGAGTTTCCATCAACTTTATGTTCTACTTGAGATCAAATTGTTCAAACATCATAAGCGAGAAATCCAACTGAGTTCTAGGTGAGCCTCTTGTGAAACCAAATTTGCTTGCAAATGAGTGTATTTCGCTAACAAACAAGTTCTTCAAATTTTCTGTCCTCACTTAAATTGTCATTGACAAACAATTTATGTAATGAGTGAGTTTAATAGTGAAATCATGAAAGTATCCCACCGGTTTGATGTAGCTCGTAAACTTGTTGGAACACACACTCTTCAGGACAGTACCTGGATAATGGCGCTTGAATAAGAGCAACGTACGACAGCACGAAAATAACTAGTCACGAAAATTGTGGGCACCTACCTTCGGACGACAAAGCGGCGGGGGACGTCTAAGTTTCGATAGAACCTCAGATGGTGCCAATTCGAGCATACTGTACGGCGCACTCCTGGTAATAATCTCTTGCATTAGAATTGCAAACGAATACACGTCTCCCTTTTGACTTCCCATATAAACCAATGGGGATTCGCGCAGATGTTCTGGAGCTGTCCAAAGTAGTTCTAGTTTTGAAATAAAATGATGTGTTACGTGGGTCGTCGCGAATGAACCAGATAGTGATAATGTTTTACGTAATTTTGCTGACACGTCAGTCAAAAAGAAGTTAAAAGAACCTCATTTCAGTGAATTAGACCTCAGGATGTCTGTATGTTTCTGGCCGTAGACAGTAATCCAGATCTTGTAACTTTTGAACCATAAAACTCCGTCACGTTCTGTTCAACGGAGGTGTGTGAAGTTTCATCTGTGTCTGTTTTCATCTTCAGAAGTAAGACAACACCAGGAAGTTAGTGATCGTACGGTTTTCCGCGGTCATTTATATCCTTAGCCCTAAAATTGGAGATATTTGATGAACTATTATGAGTTTATGCTATTCTGATGGAAAATTCCGTGATCTTTCAAAAAACGATAACCACGGTTGCTTGAATCTGGAGGTATTTAATAATTTTGATTGAGACAGCAAACTGCCAAAGCTTAGGACCGGAATTTTGCAAGTTATTCAATAATTTACTGAAAACAAAGCGATCTTTGTGGTAGCATCTACTGAGAAAGAAGAAAAAAGAATTTAATGAAACAAAAAATTTTTTCATATCTTCCTGGGACTGTCCTGTGCCCGGATTCTTATACCACCATTCGTTTTCAGGCATGATTCTACGTGAAGATAGGATATTTCAATTGTAGGTGTCTTCTTTGAAATAAGCGACAGGGTCTAAACCTTTGAGGACCAATGCATCAGACGGATCTTCAGACAGAAACAGGCTTCAATCACTGTTGCAGGCTGACTGTCACGCATTGGATACGTAGATAACAACTATGGCACGAATACTGCTATACACTCTGAAGTGGGTCTTGATGACCGAATGTCGACTGTACAGAAATGTGGCTTACTTAGCAAGGTCTGCGACTAGTATCCAGTTCTAATTCAAATGAGGCAAAGGAGGTCTATCTTACCAAAGTAAACAACGGCAAAACATAAGCCCCGGATTGGGGAATTGCTGTAGGTATCGGAGATTCAGTGTAAGGCCTTGGGCTTACGAAGTGCAGTTCACGGATTGGGACTTCTGCAGAGTAACTTTGTACTCGCCCGCTGTGTGTTGCGTAAGTGACAAGCGGTAGTTTTAGGTACCATTTAAATGGTTTCATCAAATGGATATTCATTGTTGCACGCGTAATCGTTATTGACAGTCATGGTAACTCTAACCTTAGCGTGTCAGTAAATGTTTTCCCAGAAGTTTACTGGCTTTGGATGGCAGATTCCACATTATTTGTAAACGGCTGCTGTCTGGGTAATACATTTCGTAGTCAAGGTTAGAGAATAGTTGTGGCTCCAGATAACTGACTGTTTACTGACTATAAAAACTTGCAATCCGCTCTAAAGAATACACACATGCTTTTGGTATTTTTCTGGAAATTATGTGGATATGAGAAACCTCAGAAACAATGAAATTCTGCGTGTCAGTGACTTTTGGCCGAGGCTGCTACAAATTGGTACATACTTTTACACTCAACTTGGCGTAATTTGAGGAGCGTGAATACCTCATACACGATTTTACTGACTTGTTTTTTTTAACTATTTTGCAATTAGAATTAGCTGCAGTCTGTCGTATTAGGCTGACAAATTTTGCCACAGCTTTGGTGTTAATCAAATTTAGTCCACGGTTATCTTACTGGAGACTTCATAATGTAAGTGAAAGCAATCTACTTTGAGAAGCCAAGGAGCATACTTATTTCACCCTTACTGAAAATCATCAACAGCGCAGATCTCACAAAACACCAGGGACTCTCGAATCCCCGATATTCTGATTTCCAGTCATTGCCTATGGTCAAGTCTATGGCTGCTTCTCAGACGAATTAGAATATATTCTGCTCAGTACTATCGGGAGGTGGCCTCAATGTCTTACACTTATCGTTGTGGAGACACTGAACCGTAAAAAGGAGTTCGAAAACAACTTCCATCAAGGGCGGGAACACAAGAGGTAACAGCTATGGGTCTTTTTGCGGTACCGTATCCGTATTGGTCTCTATTGTGAACTCACGTGCTCCACCACATCAACCCCCAGACGACTTATCTGATGCTTTCGTTGCGTTTGCAACTTGCTGATCTGGCGTGGTTGCGCAACAAAAGACCAACCGAATATTGAAATACGGATGTCAAATATTAGCGTCCAGGTTAGTTCAGTATTGATGTGTTTTCTAGAACTGGGACTTGCATTCCCCTCCAAAATACAGATTTAGTGACACTGAGCTCATTTGTGAAACCGAAGAACTCCAAAACGCTTGAAAATTAAAGCATGTTGTTCGAACCCCTAACTAGTTATGTGAAATTATGAATCATGAGCTGGTTGAAATACATACAATTTGCCAGTTTGTGTGTATGGACGTTGTGCACAGAGAACAATAAAGTGTAATGAACACTAAAGAAAAATCTCGTCGGTAGATTGTTCGTTCACGTGCTCGGCCGTTTTAGGCGGGTACTATGAGGACCGGAACTGTTAAAAAGTCCATTAAACTCTGTGACAGACACTCCTAGACATTGGTTGTACATGTGCGCCAGTCTTAGTCACACTACGGCAACATCTACAGAAGTCGTGACGTTTCGATTGGCAGCAAGCGCAGACATGCCATGGGATGTGAATACACTACGGCAACATCTACAGAAGTCGTGATGTTTCGATTGGTAGCAAGCGCAGAGACATGCCATGGGATCTGAATGAGTCTCATGAGGCTTGGAGGCAGTAGGCTACAGGGATGATATTTCGATGACTTCAGCTACGTAAATAGATGAAAGAATGTTCTTTCGATCCTGCTGGTCTGATTCAAATGTGCGGAAGGTCATAATTAAACTACCACACACACTACAAAACACTACGACCATGATCTTGACCAAAAGTTGGCATTTTCTTCTCTCGGGAGGTTTTCTTGTCGCAAACAATGTAAGATAACCCTTTTTCAGGTTTTTGTGGTGAAGTGTTTCCGCTGGGGCTATCTTACTTTTAAAATTTCACACATACAGTCTACCTTGTAGTGCAATCCAGTTGAGATAGAAGAAAATTACTTTATGAAAACCCTCAGTAAACATACCGTTTTAGGCGGGTACTATGAGGACCGGAACTGTTAAAAAGTCCATTAAACTCTGTGACAGACACTCCTAGACATTGGTTGTACATGTGCGCCAGTCTTAGTCACACTACGGCAACATCTACAGAAGTCGTGATGTTTCGATTGGTAGCAAGCGCAGAGACATGCCATGGGATCTGAATGAGTCTCATGAGGCTTGGAGGCAGTAGGCTACAGGGATGATATTTCGATGACTTCAGCTACGTAAATAGATGAAAGAATGTTCTTTCGATCCTGCTGGTCTGATTCAAATGTGCGGAAGGTCATAATTAAACTACCACACACACTACAAAACACTACGACCATGATCTTGACCAAAAGTTGGCATTTTCTTCTCTCGGGAGGTTTTCTTGTCGCAAACAATGTAAGATAACCCTTTTTCAGGTTTTTGTGGTGAAGTGTTTCCGCTGGGGCTATCTTACTTTTAAAATTTCGCACGTACAGTCTACCTTGTAGTGAAATCCAGTTGAGATAGAAAATCACTTTATGATGACCCTCAGCAAGCATAAACTATGCCCCAACTAGCATGCTTTCCTCCAACAGAACAACTCACAGAGTTGTCCTGAATGTGCCAAAGAACATGGAGTACCAGCGTAACCTATCTCTTAATAACCCCATCTCCTTAATATTTCCAGCCTAACATCTAGTTGCATAGATATTCTGTGCAGCTGTTGTCAGGCAAAAAGAAATGATAGTAGCTTCGTCCCTTCCTAGTATCTACCTTCTGCGTGTGGCGGCAACATGAAGGAACCGAATACGACAGTGTCACAATGCACGCCTAAATGCTTGATTATGACATCATTGTAATTAATTAATCTATCCCAGGTCGACTGCTCGGTGATGAACTCTGCAAAACATCACGTCTGTCACAGCATATGAACAGTGGCCAGCTGGTACCTATTTCGTCATCAGCTGTCTTTCAGAATGAGACCCAGTTGTACATTTGCTGCCGTGTTAAGGGAGACAAGATGTTTTGACCTGCTCATCGGTCCGAAATTGTGCTTGCTAACTAAGAGGATGTACTGTAAGGAAAAACATGTGAATTTTTATATTCAGCCTGCGTGAGCTCACACACACTATATTTGCAAAGCGCTCAGCCATTTATGGTAAATCATGTCTTCATGCAGAATAAATATGCGGCTTTTTCCTTTATTACGCTATGGAGCCGCAGCTAACAAGTGGACATATTAGCTGCAAATATTTGGGTAAAATCTTCCCTGATCACTTTTCCTCTAATTCACACTAATTTTTCTGCTCCAGACATTTTTGAAATATATTTTTAGTTTTTAATTTTTCTGCTCTACCTCATTTTATATTAGCAACACTGCGTGTGGGAGGTGTGTCCTGGCTGTTTTAGCTGTCATTGCTCACTCTTTGAGGTTCACTGCCTCCAGGATCACAGTAGCCCTTCCCACAACATCCAAGTTCCAAATAAGGTTTGTCACTAATCTGATGGCACGGAACGCGCGCATATAGTGCATATTCATTTGAAGTTAAGGCCCACTATCTCTCCAGTAAATCTGCACAGTTGTAGCACATTCGTTTTCGAGTAACCGCAAGCTGTTATGAATTTTCACTGTTGAAAGCTCACTCCAAAGATGTGTAAAGTGGTGCTTGAATGAAATCAGTAACGCGATAAACTTGTGGGTGGCAATGACAGTCATCTCCATCATAAAAGGTGAACTAAAACTGCAGTCTCCTAACGTATTCCACCCTAGAAGGATTTTACCAATGAAGAATATTACAAGTGCCCGGCTGACTGTGGTCCGTTCTTAGCATGACCTCATTTTAGAATGATAGAATGCGTTGAGTGGGAAGCTATTATTCAGTAGTCTTTGTTGCTTAAATTATCAACCCAAAACCAAGTATTTTCAATGAGATTAGTGCAAATCACTCGCCCTTATGAAAAGGGTCTCAACGAATTTTAACAACTAATTGAAGTTATTTTCTGAAAATCTTTTTCAAACGTGATCACAGAGTAATTAAAGTTCAAAAGTAGGTGACTTTAGCCCTCAAACCTGGGAACTATTTCAATTTGAAGGAACAAAAACGATGCCATCAGAAATTTCGTCACGTAGGATTTTTTCCTTTCCGACTGATACTCGCAAGATTTCTAGATTTCATTTACATTTTTCTTGATAACTTCAAGAAGCTGCGTCCTGTTTGGAGAGAAATAGTCGATAAAATGTACCGCGTGTTTTTTGTTTTGCCTGCAATTCAATTGAAACAGTATATTTTGTTATTAGAAATGCCTCCACTTACCTTTATCATCAATCTTCCTGCTCTCACCATAAACGGCATACATATCAGGCAAACCGTAATCTGTTATCTTGACGACCCATCGACCGTCCACGCAACAGTTGCTGGACTTGAGCCATCCGTGTTTTTTTGCTGGGCTGGCATGAAGAAATCGCATTCCCTAGAAGGAAACAAGGACAGGTAATTTAGTAAGTCACCTGACGTGCCACATACTTTCCGACAAAACAAAACTACAATCAGTTTACCTCATAAAGTTTGGAATTGTTTCGAAAACATAAGTATCAGCATTACATCGGATGCCTCCTTTTGACAAGCATCTGCAAACAAATTTAGCTTCATTAGTTTTTCTGGCACAGTAGCCTAAACATGCTGATGAGGCCCGCTGTTGGACCATTACCAATGGCTCCGTTGGGGGTTGACGCAATACATTTTCCTAAAATGGGGCGGGCGTATAAGCATTAGCAAACTTTCCAGATGCACCCCGGACCCGAACGAAAATAGTATAGCTGTGATTGTGAAGATCTATGGCTTCCATATCCACTCAATCTGCATTTTCAGAACTACCTTTCTTAATTCATAATTTGTGAGGCCTAATTCCTGACGAGAGATACCTGTACTAAAGCCCAAATTTTACACTGAAAACCATTCTTACTTATCAACGTCAGCTTTGGCAATAAATAAACCTATATTTTATCAAAAATAGGTCACTGTCTGATGAAGCAATGTACCTTTCTGGCCATCATCCAGCATCCAGGATCGATAGCCCATTAACCGTAAAAGTCAGAGTCAAAGAATATAACTGGTCCACTCAATGTGTTAGAACAAGGCAAGTGATTTCAACAACGATCTTCGTAACTTATGGACTGGCAAGCATTTATGCATCCAAATAGAAAGCCAGTTAGCTGACCAGAAGTGACTGGTATTATGATGGACATTTGAATAAGCAGCCCTTAATAAGCCAACACAGAGTAATTAAACGTTGAAAGACCTGATATTCAACGTGATTGATCGCTCGACATTATGGTGTTTACAACGCGTACGGCTTGCATGCTACATGGCGGACACGGACATCTTGTGAGCTGATTATCGTCCACAACCTGGACATTATTTTCTCGCTTTCCGTAGTTGTGCACTTATTGGATTTGAAGAGAAGGCATCGCCAAGCTAAACTTGGCGTGGTTATGAGATGCTCTGGTGAATTTATTCTTCCGCATAGTTCAAAACGCGTAATTAGTAATCAGAGAACAGCTGCGGGAACGACAATACAAACCACCAAAAACACTTGTGACAAATACGCCAATTCATCCACCCTATCTATCTATCTATCTATCTATCTATCAATCTATCTATCTATCTA